CCTAAATCTTTGGGCAATAAAAGTTGGAGTGCTGGCCTCCCTTGTTATCTGTGTGTGTGTGTGTGTGTGTGTGTGTGTATTTAAGTGTGTTTGGTCACTAACCCCCCTTTGGTGCCTAGGCCAATGTCTACCTCTCGTACCAGGCTAGGCCTTGTCTCAGGCCACCTGGAATTTAAGCTCTGTGATATGTGCATGTGTGATCCTACGTAATGTTATACCATCCTTCATAAAAGAGGTATTTAAACATACTTAAAATGCAAAACTTAAACCTTAAACATATAATAAAGGATTATAGTAAAGGGAACAAACGTTAACCAAACACAAACTTACGGCTCTTTGGACGCACATGCTTCCTGAACTGAGCAAGCCGCACTAATTATGATAATGAGCTACAGGCATCCCAGGGGGCTAAAACTCAAAACTACAGTCCCTACACAGTCCGCAAGGTGGCACTCGCTACCCACCACTCCCTCCAACAGTTGTCTTCACTCTTCATGGCACCCGGGTTTTTGCTTCTGTGACCGCGCGAGCCGCGTTCCACGTTCCGCCTGGCCTGCCGGTACCCGTCACCTGCCTCCGGAGACCCCTGGGCTAATAATTCCCGGTAAGCCTCCATCTTCAGCTTGACTGCCCCCCTCACCTTTGGTGTCCACCATCGGGTACAGGGCTTACCGCCATGACTGGCGCTGACCACCCTGCAGCCACAGCTCCGTACGGCCGCTTCCACAATGGAGGTCCGGAACAGTGTCCATTCAGACTCAATGTCCCCAACCTCCCTCGGTATGCAGTTGGAATTCTGCCGGAGGTACAAGTTAAAGCTCCGGCGAACAGGAGCCTCTGCCAGACGTTCCCAGCAGACCCTCACTATGCGCTTGGGTCTACCAGGTCTGACTGGCTTCCTCCCCTGCCAACCGAGCCAACTCACCACCAGGTGGTGATCAGTTGACAGCTCTGCCCCTCTCTTTACCTGAGTGTCCAAGACGGAAGGCCGCAAATCAGATGATACGATTATGAAATCGATCATCGACCTGTAGCCCCGGGCATGTTCATACCATGTCCACTTATTTATTTATTTATATCCTTTATTTAACCAGGAGAAGCCCATTGAGATTAAAAATCTCTTTTGCAAGGGAGACCTGGCCAAGATAGGCAGCTAAGTTACATCACAACAGTATGCCAGTACATACATACAAAAACAAAATAAAAACAAATATATAAAGAAAGAAAGAAACAATGAAACTCTTTACAATGAAATCTCAGTTAAAACATTGACATGTAAGGGAATCCAACTCAAAACATCTCATTTTTTACTTAAAAACACTCAAAGGAATCAATTTACTAAGTTTTAAGTTGTTCTGCAGCAAATTCCATGTAAAGGGTGCAGAATAAACAAAGGCCCTTTTACCCAGCTCAATTCTAACATGTGGGACAGAAAGCAAGACAACAGCCTGAGAACGGAGAGAATAATGACCAGTAATTTTTTTCATAAGAAGTGAACATAAATAGGATGGAAG